ATGATTTCATGTGGATGTCATTAATAGGATCTACACTATATTTGGGGTTGGAGGTCTATGTTCAGGTTGTGAAAAATATATCTAACACAAAATCAGAAAACTTGTGCGCAATATTTCCATTTTTCACATATTTCATTTTCAGGCCCTTCCTAACTCTTTGACTCACAAGAAACAGACCAGCTGTTAACATATTTCAACTCTACTCTGTGCATATTTCAGTTCATCCATTTTCTACAGCAACCTGCTCCACAACTACATGGTATTTTGTGGGATTCATCTTCAAAGTCAAATTTATAATCATAGGTTAACTGAAAAACAGAAATAATCATCATATATTCAATGAAATAATAAAATAAACTGTAAACATAAAAAGGCCAACATAAGCCAAGATAATACAAAAAGTATATTATATGCTAAAATAAAAAGAAATTGAAGCTAAACAGGTCAGATTTTTAAAAATCATTACTACTTACACTATTGTGTACTGAACTGTTAGTCTGGATGTATACAAAAACAAGTAAGAACAATGCCAGATCTTATGCTGTTGAAATGTCCTTATCAAGGAATATAATCTAAGTATCGAACACACTAATCCAGGAGCCTATAAGGTAATCAAATATCATCTAATATACTTACTTCCTCTCCTTTACTCAGTCTTCTATTGGTAATAATAATAATTTTACTATCTTTCTCAAATGGTACCACCTCAGCTACACAGTTTGGAGCACAGGAGTGGTTGATGTATCGTGCTGGACCTCCAGACATAGTAGCATCAATTACATTATCATCATCAATACGGAACATATATATACCACGATTCTACAATATATAACAATAGTTTTATTTACAGTTCAATATAGCATAGAGATAGTACTATATCTATAGTCATACATATATATACCACGATTCTACAATATATAACAATAGTTTTATTTATAGTTCAATATAGCATAGAGATAGTACTATATCTATAGTCATACATATATATACCACGATTCTACAATATATAACAATAGTTTTATTTACAGTTCAATATATCATAGAGATAGTACTATATCTATAGTCATACATATATATACCACGATTCTACAATATATAACAATAGTTTTATTTACAGTTCAATATATCATAGAGATAGTACTATATCTATAGTCATACATATATATACCACGATTCTACAATATATAACAATAGTTTTATTTACAGTTCAATATAGCATAGAGATAGTACTATATCTATAGTCATACATATATATACCACGATTCTACAATATATAACAATAGTTTCGTTTATAGTTCAATATATCATTGTATAGCATAGAGATAGTACTATATCTATAGTCATACATATATATACCACGATTCTACAATATATAACAATAGTTTTATTTACAGTTCAATATAGCATAGAGATAGTACTATATCTATAGTCATACATATATATACCACGATTCTACAATATATAACAATAGTTTCATTTATAGTTCAATATATCATTGTATAGCATAGAGATAGTACTATATCTATAGTCATACATATATCGTGGAGATTCTGGCACTGTTCAGTCAATCCAAGATTACAGTTATAGAATTCTATGTAATATTAGAGATAGGAGATTGTGAAGGTTGACAACTATTGACCACAAATCAATAAAATAAGACAATACACACCTACAGGAATACACAGGATAATTAGGGCTGAGAATTTATCCAAACAGAAAGTAATTCTTTCCAATAATATTACCTGTTCTTCGTATGTTTTTTCTCTTCTATTTGCCACCTCATTTCGTATCAAATCACCAATATATTCTATCACCATCGTATGTTTCTCTAGGTCTTTAGCAGCAAATAGACCCAGGCCCTACAAACATACAAATACATCTTTAAAATAAACCTTTAAAATTCAATTGATCCATATATCTTATATCAATTAAGTTAAGTTAATAGAGTCAATGGCAGAATTTGATGCCATACAAGAGATCAACAAAGTATGATCATTATTTCGTTCTGAAATCTATCTTGG